CAGGCCAGCGTGGTGTCCGAGCACAGGCCGGAGGCCGTGCGGGTCCGGCGGCGCGGCCGACTTGCCCGCTCCTGGTCGTGTCCCGGCGGCGGGAGGACTGCCCAGGGGGGCGCGGGGGGGAGCGCCGTGGCGGGGGACCGTCTCCCTGGGAGATGGACGCTCGGGCGGGTGGCGCAGCCCCGCGACCAGGCTGTCTTCAGGTGCCGGTTCGGTAGAACTCGAGGGTCGCTGCAGAGCACGCTCAGAAGTGACGTGAGCGGAGGGGCCCCGCGGGAGGCTGGTTCCGGCCGGGCGCTGAGGCGGCGCTGGGCACACGCTCCGCCTGCCTCTCAGACCGGCGGGGCCCGGGGGCGGCGCTGCGGCCTGGACGCCCGCCCCTGCGTCTGGCCTCGGAGGGCCGCCGGCCCCTTCCGGCTCCTTGGGTGACCCCCGGGGCCCGGGAGTTGGGGGAGGAGCCCGGGGCCGTCGACCTGTGTGTTCTCCGAAGCAGGGGGTCGCTGAGCGACGTGAACGTGTAAATCAGCTTTGCACAGGGCTGCTTCAACCCGTGAGAGTGGATTGTTAAGCTTCACTGAGATTTTTTAAACCCTTATGTTATTCAGATAAATTTAGTGAGCTGCTAATTATTTTTCTTACTCCTTAACATAAGATTTTACTAGGCAAGAGTTAGTCTAATGCATTGTATAACACGTATTTAAAAACTGACAACCAAATTTGAAAAATCCTGTCATCGCTCCTTAAATTTCGACATTGACTAATTCTTTGAAATAGATTAAGGGATGAAATCTTTTCTGTCTTTTCTCATAAAAGATCCAGGGTGTTTCATAAGCTCTTTGCCTTAAAATCATTTTTCTAGTTATCCAAGTATTTAATTGCTAACACTGTATCTTTCTTACTGGTTCAGCTTTAGTCTCTGGGGCGCTCTGAGAGCTCCGGAGGGGCTCAGCTCTCCGTTCCTTGACTGACACCAGACTGCTGAGTCACTCGCAATGCAAAATCGCCAGCTCAGAAGATAACAGATTTGTTTTTGTTTTGCTTATTCTATAAAAAGATGTTTACGCACTGAGTGGAAACTCCTGTTAAGCGTGCTTTAGGGCATTCTCTTGAGTGCACGACGTGCTGCGGGGCACGTGCTCAACTAGCCAGCCTGCCGAGGGAGGAGTCACTTGAATCAGTGGGGCCTGGCAGCTACCCTAAGAAATGTGAATCCCGGCAGGGATTCCTGGCCTGTCTGCTCTGTGGTGATTTGATTACCTCCCAACCGAGCGCCGAGAAAGCCTCGGTAGGCCAGCCCACAGACACCAGCAATCATCTGCCCCTGGGCTTGTGTCCTCTGGGACCACGTGTTCCCTGGGAGTTAACAGCAGAATTGATTGGTGGTTCCCTCCTTACCCCCGTCCATTCTAGTTAAAGCTGTTGACTAGCTAGGTGTTGTATATGCTTCCTTTTTTTCCTTAGATATACAAGTGCTAAAGTGCAGGAGGGAGATAGAATTTGGTGATGATACTGTGTCAGTCTCATGGGGGAGTGCGTGACTGACTTCCCAGAAGGACCCCTCTTCTGAGCAGAGCTTCGCTTGAGTGCTCTGAGACAGCCACCTCTTCACTTACTGCTGCTGTGTCTGCAGCCGGGCAGCTGTCATAAGCAGCCCACCATGGACAAAGGTGTATGGAGAGAAAAAGAATGCATTTCTTTTGGGGGGAACTGGAGTATCATGCATTCTGAGAGCAAAGGGGTTCAGACATCTCCTTCCTAGCCCAGCCCCTACATTTCACAGACGGTCACAATGAGGCCCAGAGGCTAAGAAAAATAAGGCAGGCGACAGCAGGTGAGGAGGAAACCGGGGCCCTCCATGAAGTGCCCGTGGGACACTTGGAGCCTGAATGACCGAATGCATGAGACAGGCCGCCTCCTGTGGCGAGGCCTGCATGAGGAAGGCTGAGGTTCACCAGCTCCTGTTAGGAACCGGGACTGAATTCTCTACCCAGGTGACTTCACGTTCAGAATCACTTGTTGGTCAAGTCTCTTTTGTTCCTGCCCCACCTAACTTGAGAAGCTTTTGAAAGCAGCAGTTTCTTAAAGCCGCCTCTCCCAGGGAAGAAGCCCCCTGTGATTAGGGCGGTAGTTCCCTCCAGGCTTAGTGGCTGCTCTGCCTCAGGCGTTCCCTCTGGGATGACGCCTTCTCCGACCATCCCTCTGCACCCACTGCCTGGTAGGTTGTTTGTTCAGATGCCTGTCATTCCCCTAACCAGTCAGTTTCAATCCTGACTGCCCAACATCACCATTACAGCTTTTTCGAAATACACGTGCCAGGTTCCACCCCAGCATTCCAAATCAGAACTTGCAGAGTGCGGTGGGCTAGGCTTCCCAAGGAAGGGAGACAGCACCACAGGTGATTCTCCACGGCCAGGGTTGAGACCTGCGACCCCAGCTAGGCTGTGGGGGGCCTTGTGGGGCTCCATCGTCTGCAGCTGGAGAGACATGTTTGTCCTGGGTTACGTGGAGGGCAGTGGGGCTAGGGGTTCCCTGGCCTCTCACGGTAGAGGGTAGAGGTAGGAACTGCGGGGGTCACTCAGTTCATCGCATCCTGCTTGTTCAGAGATGTAAGGTGGACTTGTGCGTCCTGTTGGCAGTGGAGATGGTGCGTAGGTGGGGAAGGAGCAAGGAGAGGGACGTGAAGCTGGGAACCAGGGCTCGGCTGGGGCAGCAGCATCACCACCTGTTTTCTTGAGGTCTAATTATACCAGGTCATTTGATAGCTTATTTGTGATTCTGAGGGTTTTCTAACTTGCTTTGTGAAGCAACCTTAATCCCCATTTTTCTTGCTTAAAAAGATGAGCAACCTTAATTGCACGATGTAAGTAGATAAATAGCATACGTTTTCTTATTTTCCAGGAAGTATGCTTTCCTGACCCAGTTGTTGCAGGTTCATAATAAAACTCTTGTGCTTTAGTAAATAATTCCTTAGAATACAGCTTTTGGACCCAAAGCTTTTGCTGTAGACAGTCCAGAACGGGATTTTTTTCTTTCTCTGGGATGCTTAGGACTTTTTATGAGATGATTTAAAAAAGGTATATTTGGGGGCCGACCCGGTGGCGCAAGCGGTTGGGTGCGTGCACTCCGCTGCGGCGGCCCGGGGTTCGCTGGTTCGGATCCCAGGCGCGCACCGACGCACTGCTTTGGCAGGCCATGCTGTGGCGGCGTCCCATATAAAGTGGAGGAGGATGGGCACGGATGTTAGCCCAGGGCCGTCTTCCTCGGCAAAAAAAGAGGAGGATTGGCGGGTGTTAGCACAGGGCTGATCTCACAAAAAAAAAAAAAAAAAAAAAGGTATATTTGTCTCCATGGAGTCTTGAGGTGGTCCTTGTGGTATAATTAAAAAATACACACCTGAAACTAATAGACTGTTATCTGTCAATTATATCAGTTAAGAAAAAAATACATACACATTTGGTCTTTGTCCCTGGTTCCTGGCACAGAGCTTCAAAATCCCTTGGAATTTCTGGAGTGACATTAGCATCCTTTGTTATTCATAAAGAGCCCCTTTTGTAGGGAGCCCCTTTGGAACACATTTGTGACTCACTGGGGCTCTAGATAGCCTCATTAGCAGACTCATTAACACAGATAGGATGGGGGTGGGAAAGACCAACCCTGTGATTAGAGGGTGGAAACTCAGCACCCACCCCTCTAGGGAGCTGAGGGGGCTGGAGATTGGGTTATGAGAACTGAGCCGCAAGGTAAGGTTCAGCAGAGTGTGCTGGGGTGCATTGGGGGAGGGCATGGAAGCTCTGCCCCCTCCCCCATGCCCTTGCCCTCTGTGTCTCTTCCAGCTGGCTAGCCGTTCCTGAGCTGTATCCTTTCTAATAAGTGGGTAAATGTAATAAGTCAAGTGTTTTCCCGAGTTCTGAGAGTTGTTTTGAGGGCGGGGTTGTAGGAACCTCTCAATTTGTAGCCTGCCAGGCAGAAGTGTGGGTAGCCTGGATGTCCCATTTGCAGCTGGTGTCTAAGGTAGGGGCAGTCTCGTGGGACTGAGCCCTTTATCTTGTGGGACCTGACACTCGAGGTAGTGTCAAAATTGAACTGAATTGTTGGACGGCCAGTTGGTGTTGGAGAATTGGTTGTTGGTGTGGAAACTCCCTCACATTTCATGTCAGAAAACAGCACCCCAGACTCCACTTACATCAGACACTGCAGGTGATCTGGGCAGCGTTCTGGCTTGGTTGAGGAAATTGAGCCAGGCCTGGAATCTGAACAACACAGATTGAGCCTAGAGAAATGGAACTGTGCCCGGAGCAGGGGCCCGTGGTGCTGTTTCATGACACAGGGCCAGAGCTGGCTGGCTAGCTGGCTGAGTGTCACCTTGAGTCCCAGGGAAGGAAGGGGGGCTAGTTAAGGACTCGCATGCTTGAGCTTTTAGAATGATGCTTCCGGGTTAGGAAGTATGGTCAGCAGCCTTGATGAAAACATAGTCAGATGAGTGGTCTCAGGAAAGGGGGTGTGTGGAAACCTCTGACATGCAGAGGCTGAGGGGTCTGGGCTCCAAGCCAGACCCTGGCCGTCCTGTGCTTGTGCGGGCCAGGCCGACACGAAGCAACTTGAGGTTAAAGGGAAAAGTTCTGCATTAATGTGAAAACTGTGTGTGATCATTTTGTTAGCAGCTATCTGGGAGGCTGATGTCAGGTGCAAGTTCACATTTATTTCTGGGTCTTTGATTTGCTTTTTTCTGATTAATAGGACGTATTCTGCAACAAGCGGCTATTGAGGGGAGGCCAGGACTCTTGCAGAAGAGATGTCTGAGTGTGTGGGACAGCTGTGCAGCCTGCGGTGCTTCAGCTAACGCAGTGGAGTGATGAGTGGGCAGCTCCGTCCCCCTGATCACACGGTGCTGTGTAGTGCCAGCGCCTCGTTGGTTTAAGCACAGAGTAGCAGCTCTGTGTGATGGATTGTAATTGTAATAAAAGGAGAGTGACTGCAAACCCACTTCATGGAGTTTTTCCAGTCCATGAATTGTTCAGTCTTGTGTAGTCCACCTTGACCCTCTCCCTACTGCACCGTCCTCCATATGCCATCAGAGCTGGCCTTTCATGTAGATGTGCTGGAGATGCAGACCTACGACACAAAATAGAGAGACTCTCCTGGGCCCAGAAACAGTCCTGTGCGTGTTGCAACCTTGATTTCTGACTGAGGAAGCGGCACAGAGCAGAGGGCATGGCAGAGGCAGGCTTGTCAGTGGATGGTGCTGGGCAGAAGGTCGTGTGGGAAAACCTACACCGCCTCAGATCACAGGTTAAATCCAGGTTCATTACACCAGTGTCTGAGCGAGTGTCTAAAACGACACAGCTTCTTAATATCTTCATGATCTCAGATTAGGAAGAGATTGAAAATCTGACTGAATTAAAATCAAGAACTTATGTACATCAGAAGGCATTTTTAAGAGTCAAAAGGCAAGCCACAGTGAAAGTTACTTGCAGCACATTTAAATGAAGAAAGGCTTGTATCTTGAATATTGAACGTCTGTAGATAGGAGAAAGGTGGACAACTCAATAGAAAGAGTAAGCAGTTTTTGAACAAGTAATTCAAAAAGATGCTATCCAAATGGCCAGTAAACATAAAAAAATGTTCAACCTCATTCGAAGTCAGAGAAATGCAAAATAAACCACACAAGATACCACCGCACACCCACAGAATTGCTCAATTTAAAGACTGATGGTACCAAGTGTGAAGCAACAAAAACACTCACCTATTGGGAAAATGGTCCATGGATGGGTTCAGCTGCATCGGAAAGTAGGGGCATTCTCTACTGACATTGACGCATATACGTATTACCTTAAACCCGGTAATCCTGCTCCTAGGTATATACCCAGCAGAAGCAGGAGAGCATGGACACCGTGGAATGTTGGAAGAATGTTTATAGAAGCATTATTCGTAGCTGCCCCAAACTGGAAGCAAGCCACACATCTAACAGAAAGGGTAAATCATGGCATAGCCTACAGTGGAATCCGTACAGCCCCAACAAAGCTGTTCAACCAATCCACAAACACTTGGTGGTCCCCTCAAGTCCAGACCCCCAGGCTGTGCTCTTGGGTCCTGACCAACCTCCCCAACCTCACTGCCCCCACATCTGTGGGCGTCTCCACCCCAGCTGTGCTGAACCTGCCGCTGGCAGCACTTGAGGACAGCTCTCTGTTGAGGGTTGTGTCCTTTTGTGGGACGTGCCAAAATCATTTCCAACTTGCAGGTCTCTCCCACCTTCAGCCCCCAAACACACAGGCAAAACCAAGAGCCCCACCTCCCAGCCTGCTCTGGCCTGTATCATAGCTCTTGGTGTCCACTGAGGACGCCTCCCCAAGCAGGCCTCCTCTGGGTCCGGGCTCTGCCCACTCTGGATTCCCAGCCCCGAGCACAAATTTGTGCCGTGTACCCAGATCAGTTGTTTGATTGGCGTGAACTTAGAGTTAATTCCAAATAGTGGGGCTAGCAAGAGATGGCCTAGCTTACAATAATGGCTGTACTTGCAGGGTTTTGGGGTGGGGGTGGGGTGGCAGCTGCTTGTGTGTTGTATTTTGATAAGCAGATGACCTGGTGCTAAGACAGTTCTCTGAACCTATAAAATCTGTCTGGATAGATTTTGTTTGGAATGTATAACATGTCAGTTTTTAGTTCAAGTAGGAAAGAATGCTGAGCTTATTACTTCCCACGCAGACTTGGCTAAGTGAATGCTTGAGGGATGGCTTGCCTCTGATTCTTCAGGTGTAGTTGGAAATTTCCTGTTTTCTATTCAAAGTATATTCATCTGGCTTCAGATGTAAATAAGTACAGAACAGCAGTCATAAATGAATTTTGAGGGGCCTCAGGGTCAGAATGTGATGCTAGTATGTGGAAATAGGTTTATAAGAGATAGTTTAAAACTTGTTTTTATTTTTAAGTCTCTTAAACTTTTGTTGACACCATTTTTCTTCTGAAAGTTGAATGCGTGAAAGCACTCTGGTCAGCTGGACTCGGCTGACTCAGCAGGTTACCAGGCATCTGTTTCACCTTGAGGAACGGCAGGGGGTGCGCAGACGTGTCTGGCTCCCTGGGGAGGGCGAGGCTGACCAATTACTGTAATGCAAGTGCCAGAAATGGGCGCCAGGCATGTGGTGTGGTTACAGGAGGTGGTTCGTTGTGTGTCCCCAGCACCTCTTGGAAGTGGAAGGGTGGGCTGGTTATAGGTTAGGACCAGACTCCAAAGTGGGTAGAAAATTCCAACTCTGCCCTTTTTTTGTCCCCTTCAGGCTCCTGGGTAGAATTGCACTTCAGCAATAATGGGAATGGGAGCAGTGTTCCAGCCTCAGTTTCTATTTTTAATGGTGAAATGGAAAAAATATTGCTAGATGCCCAGCATGAGTCTGGACGGAGCAGTTCCAAGAGTTCTCACTGTGACAGGTGGGTATAAATAAGTGTGTGTGTTACAGTGCTGATTGAAGTGGACGAGCAGTCACAGCTGTACATGCCGGCTTCACCTCAGCTTAGGCCACATTGGGGGTGGCTTCTCCAGCCCTCTTTAGACAGTGGGCCCCTTGCCCTCTGGTGGGAGGAAGTGGCTGGGGCTTGGTCTATGGAGAGACCATGTTAAAGCCAGGGGCACATCTGAACCTGGTCCCTATGCTTCTGCCCCATTGCGTTGATTAGCTTTCTCAGGCTGGTCATCATGAGCCCGTGTCTCAGCACTGCCAGTGAATCAGGGCAGCGTGGCTGGGTCAGAGATCAAAGGTCAGGTGCTCTCAAGGGCTGTGTAACAGATCACAAAGCCAGTGGGTGACAAAGCCCCGCCACCTGCTGGCTGTCCCATATCCCCCTCCCCCCTGAGGACTGGCCTAGCCGACGCCTGTCGAGCTCAGCTGAAAAGATGGAGGACCAGTTTGGCCCTGGTCTGGTGCCGGTGGGAGAGCAGAAGTGGGTGCTGGTGGAGTGCGTCCTGCCCCTGAGGAGACGCTCCCTGCCTGGGGGTTTGCTTCTCATGGGGAGAACAGTAACACGACGTTGTTTTTCCCATTCTCACTCACATCTCGCCCAGCCCGCCTCGCTCACAGACCCCACAAGATACTAACAGAGTTTCTGAAACAGATACCCATAGCATCGGAGAGAAAAACAGCTCTCAGGTAAGATGAGCAATTGTACGTGTTTGTGATCTGTTTATACAGGGAAGTTTTCAATGTAATTGAGTAGAGAAAAGTCTGGCTTTTGGACTGTCTCTTGCCTTTTTTTTTAATTTATTTTTTTTGTGAGGAAGGTTGACCCTGAGCTAACATCCGATGCCAATCCTCCTATTTTGCTGAGGAAGACTGGCCCTGGGCTAACATCCGTGCCCACCTTCCTCCACTTTATATGGGACGCCGCCACAGCATGGCGTGACAAGCGGTGCTTCGGTGCGCGCCCAGGATCCGAACCTGCGAACCCCGGGCCACCGCAGCAGAGCACGCGCGCTTAACCACTTGCGCCACTGGGCCGGCCCCTCTTGCCTTTTTTTAAACTGGGGTGGGGACGTCCCCAACGCTTGGGTTTCACACTGAGCCGACCCGGGGAGCTTCAGGCTCGGGCTAGGATGTGTAGTGTGGGCTGCCTCTGCCCCACGGCACCGTCCAAGGACACCCGGGAGGGAAGGCGAACTGGGAGCCCGTTAGTGGCTGCTCTCTGTCTTTGTGGCTGTCGGTTGGGCGGTGAATGGGTTTTAATGTCTGAGCTGTTTAGAGCTAGGATTACACCCATGCGGCTGTTCGGGAACCCCTGCCATTGTGGTTGGACTGCTGACATTCCTTCCTCATCGGGCACTGCGCTGCAGCTGCTTCCAAAAACTGTGCCTCAGGCCGTGCCCACTGGTGCTTGGGTGGTCTCGAGTTAGGAGCCAGCCAGGCTGGTTACTTGAGCCTGAGGTCGCTTTTCCAACATCTGCTCCACAAATATTTAAGGGGTCTGAAATGTCAGGCACTAAGCTTTGTTGTGGGGCCACAAAGCCTTCTAGAGGCTTAGGTCTGTGAGGACAAGTGCCCTGGGCTGTGGCTGAGTGTCCTGCACTGCTGTTCCAGTCCACTCGCCACAGGACCTTGGGGCCATGCCCAGTCTCTCGAATCCTGTTGGGGAGTGCTGCCCCTGTGCACACTGAGGCACAGGACATGTCTCCGTGGGTGGTTTGGTAATTATGATCACGTGACAGTGGAAGTGACTCCCACTCTGTCTTAGGGAGCAAGTCTCCCAGTCAGGACCACTGAGTCACCCTCCCTCCTGGGTTGGGCTCCCCTCGGCCTCCCTCACCAAGTCGTCAGGTGAGGCTCTGCCCCAGGCACTCTCAGAGAAGGCTCCCGGCCCCTCAGACTCTAGAGGCTTCCGGAGCTCAGAAAGAGCCCTGACAGAGCGTGCCCGGGGCAGCTGGCCTGCTCCCAGACACTCGGAGTCCACGTCTAGCTTGGTGCACCCAGACGTTTGATAGGTTTTGGTACTACATTCCAGAGTATTTCCAAACTGTTTTTCCTGATTTTAAAAAGGAATTATATGCTCAGGTATAGAATTTTTAAAAGACAAAAAAATAGAGAACAACACGTATAATCCTAATTTTTAAAGTCCCTTTTAATTAGTGTGTTACTTAATTTTAAAAACGTAGCTGAAATCATGGGTGTATATAGGTTTCTGGTGGTTAGCCCTCTTATTTAACATGAAAGTATCTTTCTTTTAAACTCATCTGCTATCCGGTATTCCATTTACGGTTTTGGGCCATTTTTATTTTATTTTATTTATTTATTTTTTTAAAGTATAGTTTTCTTTTTTTAAATTTTTATTCATTTACTTTTTTTCCCCCAAAGCCCCAGTAGATAGTTGTATGTCATAGTTGCACATCCTTCTAGTTGCTGTATGTGGAACTCGGCCTCAGCATGGCCAGAGAAGCAGTGCGTCGGTGCGCGCCTGGGATCCGAACCCCGGGCCGCCAGCAGCGGAGCTCCAGCACTTAACCGCTAAGCCACGGGGCCGGCATGGGCCATTTTAGATGGTCTTCATTTCCTTCTGTTCTAACCAGCACTGCAGGCAGCATCTGTGTGTGGATGTCTTTGTCCTCACTTCACATTGCTTCCTGGGGACAGTGTTTGCAGCTCGTGGTGCCACCAGAACTTCCCAGCTGGGCTTTCACTGTAGTCCCTAGAGGAGGAAAGCAGGGCTGGTGGAGCCCCAGCTCTCCACTGTCCTTGCACTGGCTCTGCTGAGTGGCTGTGGCCTGAGCTCAGCTTGCTGATCTGATGTGCTCAGGTGGAAGGTGGTGCTTTCTGGTGTGGATGCGATAGGTTAATCTACTTTTAACACTTACTTTTTCTTAGTCTGAGGAAGATTATATGGAGAGAAGGAAAGAAGTTGAAAGCATCTTGAAGAAAAACTCAGACTGGATATGGGATTGGTCAAGTCGGCCAGAAAATATCCCCCCCAAGTGAGTCTGTTTTCAGTATCATGGGGTCTTCCTTTGACACAGCACCCTCGACTCACTCAGGTCTCTTCCTGCCCCAGGGAGTTCCTCTTCAGACACCCAAAGCGCACAACCACCCTCAGCATGAGAAACACGAGCGTTATGAAGAAAGGGGGCATTTTCTCCGCAGAGTTTCTAAAAGTTTTTCTTCCCTCTCTGCTGCTGTCTCATCTGCTGGCCATTGGACTGGGGTAAGTGACTCCCAGCACGACGGGCCTTAGGATAATTCTAGGTCTCAGGAATTTATTTTTAAATGTTTACTGAAGGGTAGAGCATAAGTCACAGCTGATGTCATGTAAGCGTGTGAACAAACCTGGGCATGTCATCACCGTCCAGGTCACGATCAGAAACATAACCTGTGACCCTCGAAGTCTCCCCCCTCCAGTCACTATCTGGCCCGCCTCGGGGCAGCGTGGTGCTGACCTCGGACATCAGAGACTAGTTTAGCCTGTCACTTCCCTTTTTGCAGATGAGACTCTTATGTCCGGCTTCTGTGTCTCTACTGTCTAGTGTAGGTCTCTGTGCACATCAGTCAGCCTTACTCCTTACGGTGTTGCAGTGCGTGGATGCTCTGAACTGTCCCTGTCCCTTTCTGCCGCAGATGGGTGGTCTCTGTAGCTCCTATAGGACACGACTGTTCTAGTTCACTCTCAGCAGTAACAGAAAGGCGAGGTCTTCAGTTCTCAGGCTTCTTGCACTAAATGTGCAGAAAACATACACCTGCAGCCATGGATCCTAAAGACATTCAGCACAAACAGTGCTGAGGAGCCAGAGCATGCTGCTTGGGAAGCCAGGGCTGCTGTTCTCCTTGTCCTTCCTCAGCCTGTGTCCGTGTGGGTAGTGGTCTCACCACTCCTGGTGTGTGATGCTGTCCTGTGGCTGCAGCTTACTGGACAGACTGGATAGTCGAGAGGGGCTTCTGATTTTGGCTGGTGCTACTTAGCCGGAGGGCTTGCTTCTAGGGCACAGAGGGAAACAGGATGAAAAAGCCGCTGTAGCGCGGTCAGTCTTTTCCCAGATTCCATGAATGTGGCAGATGAGAACCGGTCTGTTCTGTTTTGGGGCAAATGTGAGTGTCTGGGTCTTGCAGGTTATGCCCAGCCCTTCCACCTGTGGGTGGTGAGAAAGGAGTCTCCTTCCCTGACCTTCTGAGCCCCAGACCACAGTTCTGCCTGCCTCTGGAGGTGGCTTCCTGGATGAGCCAGTGGCTGCTTGCAGTCTGCATGCTCCAAGTGAAACTCATCCAGTGTCGTGGGCCAGACTCCATGGCTCCCTCTCCTCCTGGTTCTGTCCTAGCTGTTTCCTCTCAGCACAGCCCACCGACCCCATTCTGGCCAGTGCTTCTGGAGTCAGATGCACAGACAGCACGTGTCCGTCTCACCCAGGGAGTTTAGATACTGGCCTCTGGAGCTTTCTCCAGAACCAGCAACTCAGATTCTGTGGGGGCAGGGCCTAGTAACCTGCATCTTAAATACCTGGTTTAGGCCTTCACTTCAGGGTGGATTTCTGCAGCCAGCTCCCACCTAGCGTCCCTGCCCTTCATCCTTCCAAAGCCTGCTGGTGTCATGCCCTGTCCAGAAGCCCCCAGGACTTCCCGTCCTCCTCAGGATAAAACCACCCTCTTCAGGTGGTCCAGAGAAGCTCCGGCAGCAGGGTCTGCAGTCTCTTTCTCACCACTGCCCACGGGCCTGCCAGGCTCCTGTTTCGGCTTCCTCCCTCCCGGGTGACACCCACTACTCTGCAGGCATCAGCTGAGCCTGTCTCCTCAGGAAAGCCTTCCCTGATGCTCTTGCTCCTTAGGTACTGGGCCCTTAGACTGTGTGAGGCAGGGGCTTTGTTCTCAGCGAAGGCCTCTGTGAGGCTGGGGGTGAAGGTACAGCGTATCGCCTGCTCCTGGGGACCACCTCCTCCAGCAGTGTGGTCCTGGATCCCGTTCCAGACCCTAGAGGGAGTGCAGCAGGTGTTCCGTGAGTGACAGCGTTTTGGGTGGGTTAGCATCCTCCTTGGTACTAGTATTGAGCGCACTGCACTGTTAGAGCACTGTTGGATTTTTTCCTAAGTTAGAGTACTGTAAAATGCAGTGATGAAGAATAAAATGCTTGATAGAAGACTGCAGATAGTCATCACAAAACTTTGAAAAATAGGTATAAGATAGCCTTTTCCCTCCCATAAGCTATAAGCATAGTTAGCTGCCTTCAGCTGTGCGAAATCATCCGAGAACGTGAGGCCACATTCACTGCCAGTTGCTTTTCCTGTTAGGATCTATATTGGACGGCGTCTGACAACCTCCACCAGCACCTTCTGATGAAGAACTGGAATCCAGCTTTTTTCATGGAGCGGGATTTATATCGGAGCTTGCAGCATAGCTAACTGAAGAGCTCTCTTGGTCCTTGGCTGGCTGTACCACTTGTGTTTATTTGTTCTGTAAATGCGGCGTTGCTAATTTAGTGAAATGAAAGATAGACACTAAAACCATGCTAATCTATAATCATACCTATGGGATCAATTAATAAGCATGTCATATTAATATCTACTGTAATAATTTGGTAGTAAATTTTCTTTGGATGTTATAAATATCTAAGTATGAATAATTTTAACATACAAGTCATGATGTACGTAGTATTTTAACAAAAATTATCTGCAACCTTAATTTGGTTAGAACACTTTATATTTTGGAAGAATGAATAATGTTGATATTAAAATGACTACATAAGGGGTTTATCCCAAATAAATATTGTGGCCTTATATTCACACTACTGTAGGAAATACTATATTTAAGGGGGCGCAGGATAGTGTAGTAAAGACTACACTCAGCTCTGCTCGTTGTTCTTTGTTATGTAGTGAGTAGAACCCGGGGCACACACAGACTCGCTGTGTGGTCAGACGCTGGACTGCTTGCTTTGCAGGGTGATGGCTTCAGTCTCTGACTGTTAGTAGCCACCCTGCGTGGTCAGTCTTCTGTCCCAGGCACCTGCCAAGCTGAGTACCTTACTCTTTATCACTCAAGGTTGCTGAATTTAGTCTTATCCTTTGTGTTCAGTTTTTGTGTGCTCTTAGAATTAGCTTCATTCTAAGCAAATGTGTCTACTTTAAAAGACTGGAAATAGAAAAAAATAAACCTTTGCCAAACCCTTCCTAGATTACTTACATGTGGTTGAAAACAAAACGTCATAAAAGCTTTTTGATGAAACCAGGCATATCCCCTCTGTCACATTCTTTATCTTTTCTACAGCATGATTTTTAAAAGGCTGTGTCTTTGATATACTGTATATATGCTGTTGGGTATTTGTTTTAGTTTTTCCACACTAAATTAGTTATGCTAAAATAAATAACATTTTAACTTTTTAATATCTTTGTTCATATTTAAACAATTACCATGGAGTAGTAGCTTAGAGCCCTTTCATTTGGAGACATCTGGTGGGATGGCGTCGGAATTCTTTATGTAGTTCATCCTCTAAAAAAGAGAAGGCCTAGGAGGTCACATTGAATCACTCTGGCCAAGAAAATTCCCTTTTGTTACAGCAAATGTTTCTCTTTCATCAGAAATAAAGGGGTTCGTCCCTCTGCTTCTCTCCAGTGTCCTCAGAATCAGCACCCCTTACAGGGAGCTCAGTGAACCCCTATCACCATCTGAACCATCACTCAGGTGATTTTGGGCCCTTGGCAAAGGCAGTCAGGTTTGTCCTCCTCCTCGATGGCATAAGCTGAGCTGAGACTGGCTGGAGGTACCAGAAGCGCTCCACACAAATGAGACGGGACGTCACAGCTCTGGTTTTCAAGAGGCTTTTTTCAGACAGCAGCCTTACAGTGGACATTTTAGTCATATAAAATGACCATTTAAGTGTGTGTGTATATTGGTGATGTATGTGTACTTTGTTTTTATCTTTCAGGCAGGATAACAGCTGTATAGTAATTGAGCTTTTGCAAATAGCCCTTCTTTCTGCTGTTAATACAAACAACATCTTATTCATTTTATTCACTGAAGAGCAAAGTTTACGAAATATTTAACATAATCTCAACAATTTTGGATTTAAAAAAATTAAAACACTTGGCTCCTACTTTTAAATGCAGTTTTCTGATCCCGACACTTGGACTAACCAGAGTGAGTTTGCAGACTGTAATGTGACACTTGTAGTTTGCTAGAAGGAATGCAAATGGGTACAGCTCTCTGGAGGGAAATTGGGCAGTACCTTAAAAAACTATCCTTTCATGTTCCTTTTGACTTAAAACCCACTTCTAGGAATTTACCCTGAAGATAAACCTCTAAAGATTTGAAAATGTATATGTACAAGGATGTAACTACAGTATAATGTTAGTGTATTAAGTATAAGATATTCAAAACAACTGAAGTTCCTGTACGTAGGAGACTGGTTGAATCAGCTGTGGTAATTCCACAAAATGGAGTGCCACGAACCTTTAAAAAAAAAGAAAACCACAGTGAAATAACTGATGGTGATTCCCAGGATATATTTAAGTAAAAAAAAACAAGGTGTAGGGGCTGGCTTGGTGGTGTAGTGGTTCAATTCACATGCTCTGTTCAGCAGCCCGGAGTTCGTGGGTTCGGATGCCAGGTGCAGACCTACACACTGCTCAACAAGCCATGCTGTGGTGGCGTCTCACATACAAAATAGAGGAAGACTGGCACAGATGTTAGCTCACGGATAATCTTCGTCACCAAAAAAAAAAAAAAAAAAGTGTAAAAGTGTATGTATCCCCAACAGATAGGAAATAGAGTTGGCAACGGGGTTTTAAAAACGACCAGGCTCTCTGATGGGCAGCCTCAGGATGAGATGAGAGGCACCATCTCGGTTCTCTCCCCTGGACTCAGGACACTTGGCAAACAGGAGGAGGAAGTGATGCTGGGCCTCTCTGTGGGCCCAGCCTTCAACTGGCAGCTATATCCTGCCTCTTGGAACCCACTCACCGTGCTGTGAGGAAGCCAGGCCATCTGGTGCAGAGGCCTACCTGGAGAAGACCTGCCAGCCGTGTGGGTGACCCATGTTTGACATGGATCCTCTGGCTTCAGGCGATCTGCCCCAGTTGACACCATTTGGAGGAGAGAGGAACTGAACCCGCTGAGCCTAAACTGTAGACTGGTGAACAAATTAAAGTGTTCAAAAAAAGAAAATAGAACATACATGGTATGCTATCATTTATGAAAAAAGCACAAGAAAACATCTCTTCCATTTGTAAAAAAAAATATGGGGTGAACTTTCCAGAAATGAAAGACAGGCTACCTCGAGGATTGGGTGGTGACAGTACAAACAGTGGGAGAATGGGAAGGAGAAGGAGGCACTAGGGTGCCCTCTGTGTGACTGACTCAGAACACAGTGCTTCACTTACTGCCAGAATCCATAGATGAAGTCAACATTTTGGGGGAATTCAAAATGGAATACGAACAATCAGGAGACCTAACTAGTACAAATGAATGAAGCCACGTGGAAGGGTGAGAAGGAAAACACTAACGTGAGCACCTTGGGAACACGTTTGGACTGGGTGCTGTGAAGGAAAATTGAACACAAATACTGTGCTCTTGCTAGTAAGTCTGACTGTCGTGAAGGTACAGGCTGGCAGTCCTGGAGCTGCTCGATGTGTATGCTAATAGTGAGCACGTGAGTCTCACAGGCAAGAGATCCAGGTTTCACTGAGACAGGAGTTCGATCAGGAGTGGGTGCTGGCGTCAGGCCTCTGGTGGGTGTGAACTGGAGGTGTTAGCATTAACTCACGGTTTCAGATATATAGAGATACAGAAATAGAATAGAAGAGTGTGTGTCAGTATACATGTATATAATTCCTAGCTCTCTTCAATAAAGGGCCTTGGAGCAGTGAGACCTCAACAGTGCTGAGCCGGGCCAACACCCAGATTCTGGTTTCTAACACCATTCTCCAGTAAACCAGGGCTCCTTGGCAAAGTGGTTGATTCCACTGCAATATGAGTCTGGAACATTTGTGGTACCAGAAAGTTAAGGAAGTGCTCAGAAGATGATGGCATAGTGAAAGGACACAGGAGCCAGCTTGCAGAACTCCCAAAGGCCCAGACTGGGACAGCTGAGTAAGAAAACCGTGGTAGTGGGTTTTTACCCACAGACTAAGGCAGCTATCCACAGGTGCAGAGAGAGAGACATCAAATAAGTGGGAGAAAGGGACAGTTCCTCCGTAGAGTTCCAGCGGATAAATACAGAAGGGGTGACAGAAGGAGTCACCGTCAGGCAGACAATACAACTGCTAAATCATCAGGGGTGCTCACGTCAGTGGGCAAGGGTCTGACAAAAAAGGGTATTTCTGTTTCTCCCCACGAAATAGTAATTTCTGTAAAACTAGCAGCTTTACAGTGAAGGAACCTAGCAGACACCATCTATCTCCTGATGATGCACAGAGAAGCTATAAGATCTCTGTATTCTTGCCAAAATGTGTAACTGAAGGTTAATCACAAGAAAATATCAAGCAAACTCAAATTGAGGAAGATTCTACAAAATCGTCCAGGGTCGAGGTCATGAAAGACTGAGGAACTGTTGGAGATTGGAAGGTAGAGAGGCATGACAACTAAAGGCAGTGTGGGTCCCTGATTGGATCCTGGACAAGAAAAAGACGTTACAAAGAAAACTGGGAAAATCCACAGAAGGTTTGTAGATGAGCTAATAGGCTGTCTTGTTACTTGCCAAGTTTTGATATGTCACTATGTGACCTAAGATGTTAACGTAAGGGAAGCTGGATGAAGGATATGCAGGAACTCTGTGTGATTTCTGCAACTGGTTTAAAATTATTTAAAAATTAAAAAAGATAAGTAAAGTAAACAATACCTTCTTACTCCAAGCACTGTCCCTGGACTAGTGGCATCAGCATCAGCCCGCCCAGCCCTAGAGCCTGCTTCTCATGGTGCTGGATGCCTCCTCCCAACAGCAGAGGAAGCTCCCCATGAACTGCTGCGGGGAGACGGCAAGACGACTGTGCGGTGGAAGGAGCGACGCAGCAGTGCACATATGCTACCTTGTGTGCACAAAGAAATAGGAATGTATCAAAGTATGCCCTAGAAGAGAGTAACAAAAATGACCCACAAGGGTCAGAGGTGGGGCATGACCTTGCTATGATCCTTTTAAAGATTTTTGAAATCTGTACAGGCATTACCAGTTCAAAACTTACATTAAGGAAAAAAAAAATTTATCAAGAAGGGTTGGTGAAGCTGTGGAGAAAAGGGAACCCTCATGCACTGTTGGTGGGGATGTAAATAGGTGCAGGCACTATGGAAAACAGTATGGAGGTTCCTCAAAAAATTAAAAATAGAACTACTCTATGATTCAACAATCCCACTTCTGGGTATTTACCCAAAGAAAACGAAAATACTAACTCAAAAAGATACAGGCACCCCCAAGTTCACTGCAGCATTATTTACAATAGCCAAGATATGGAAACAATCTAAGTGCCATTGATAGCTCAATGGATTAAGATGTGGTATATATATATATAGAATGGAATATTATTCAGTCATAAAAATGAATGAAACCTTGCCATTTGCGACAACATAGATAGACCTTGAGGGCATTATGCTAAGTGAATGAACCAGACAGAAAGACAAATACCGTATGATCTCACTTATATGTGGAATCTAAAAACAAAACAAAAACAAGTTCATAGATACAGAGAACAGATTAGTGGTTGCAGGTGGGCGGGGGGCTGGGCAGTGGTGAAATAGGTGAAGGGGGTCCAAAGGTAAACTTCCAGTACAAAATACGTAAGTCATGGGGATGCAG